GCTGAACTGATGTGTTTCCCTGAGAAACAGTAAGACGATTAAAAACATTCAGTTCATTACGGGGCAGGCTTGGTGGGGAAGAAGGAGGTGAAAGACTAGCCTCTGAGGTTCCAGAATCTGAGCTACAAGAAAAAAAGAACATTAAATAGGTGGCTTTAATTGGCTTTGATTTGTTAGAAATGTTGTAAGAAACATGTTTTTTTATAAAAGCTTTTCATTATACAATTCCTTCCTTGCTTCCTTTCTTCCTCTGTTCCTTTTTTATAAGATAAAATGCACTCTGAACAATTTAATTAAAAATTTTTTTCCACTGAATCTTGTTACGTTGGCCACAAGATGGCACTAAAGAAAAAGTTCTGTCTGCTAAAATCTAAAGTCAGTATAAATAAAGCAAGCCAAGTTTAAAATTATACAATTTTAGAGTTGAGAGCAAGTTGTTCACTTTACAGATGAGGAAACAGACCCTGAGAGTTTAAGAGGAATTCGCCTATTCAATTGATTCATTCATTTATTTTTAAATTACTTATTTGCTCCATCCCCTATCTCCTACTTATTCTTAAGACATTCGATTCAGTAGAAACAGGTAAATTACATCTTTAAATACAGGAAACAAGGATGATTAGAAGAGCAACTTCCATGACATTCACGTCAGCTAAACCAGTGGTCAAAGTAGAGAGTGTGCATGTTGGTACAAGGGAGGAGGATGGTATAAGATTATCCACTTGGGTACAGAAAATAGATGAAAACTTCTTTCATAATTATTTTTATGTTAAAGAAATTGTCTTTACCAATACTTAAATATAGATTAGCATTGATATTCCTACTCAAGAGCGTGTCAGAGATCTACCTGCTATATGCAGCTCCTTAGGAGACCTGAGGGAGATCTCAGTGTGCCACAGGGTAGAAAGGTAACAGTGGCTCTAACCCATTTATAACTTTCTGTGTGTTGTGGTGTTGCAATTTACAAATGTCCACGTAAGTGGACCATCAGATTTTATTGTGTACTATTAAGTAAACTAACCCTCACAAAACACACAAATAGCTTTTAAAATATTTCAACAAAAAAAACAATTAAGGATAATACCAATTTAAACATAAAAGAACAGCAAGAAAATGGCACAAGTCACACATCTAACACTAGATTTTTGTTAACCACTTTAAAGAAGTGAAATCAATGTCAGTTTTATCAGATGACAGTCAAAATTAATTTCAAAACTTTCTAGAAGACTATTTGAATTGTAGTTTTAATAAACTTCTCCTCAAAGGTATATTAACTCCAAAATGATATGCACAAATAATTGAAAAATAAATCAGACTATATGAATGGGGACAAGTGCTCAAATTTATTTACAGGTATGTGTTACCAAGAAAGTTAGACTACTTATACAAGCCAACAGCACACATGATTGTCTTCATTAGTCAAATCAGTCACAATCCCAGAGTCAGTCTGAATATGGAAAATAATTTCACTATTGTGCTTTAGCATCTAAGTGCATCAGACATTTTATACAATCTAGTAGATAAAAAGCATGGGTAACTTACTGTTTTTGTTCCTTGGCCTTTGATTTTTCCCCTTTCTCATATGCCTTTCTCCTTGTTACAGGGGAAGGCTCTGGTAACTTTTTTTCTGATACAGATGACTGTCTGGAACTAAGAGAGAGAAAGGTTCTATAATCATCTAATTTTAAATATATACATATAACTTTGGCAGATACTCAACCTAAATATTTAATAGATTAATAACTGGAACTTGAGAAAGATTATTTGGAAATAAGAAATAGAACTAGGACAGGAAGATATCACATGAGTTATTTTAATTAATGGGAGCTTGATAACTATATATTTAATTTTTAAATTGGCAATTTTGTCAAATACATACATGCCCATTATCTTTGAATGTAAACATCAATGCTATACTGCCAAATAGCTAAAATAATTTTTTAATTTTAAACATTAAGTGTTTAAGTTTGATTAGAATTGCTTCAGTTGAAGAAAAATTGTCTTTATAGTTTTGCAAGAACAAAAATATTAGAATATCAGAATATGAGAAACAATGAGATTTAATGAATTAATATTTACATAGTCACAAAAGAATACTACAGGTAATCACAAAAAACTACAATCATTTTACTTAACTAGTATTTAAGTATTAGTTAGCTATATCTATTTTAGTACTAAAAATATTTTTGTTTTATTATAGACTTTAAATGTTCAATAGTGGCTATGTAATTAATAATTTAAGACTATGATTGTTGTGTACAGTGGTAATGAATTTTAATTGAAAAAAATGAATTTTTTGCTATCCTTGACTAGTTTTATTAATAAGAAAAAAACCACTAAGGAATTAGCAAGCAGGATCCCCAGAATGGGTCTACAGTGATTCCTATTTGAAAGTGAAAACTAAATATAATTAAACTTCACGTGCCTGGTTTTTCTAATTAGAGGAAATCACATTTTAGAAGTTCTGCATCATTTAAATGATAAGGCCCACTTGAGTAAATTCTTTTACTTTATGCAATGGAAGTCATGTAGTAATGGGATATAAGAGTTACTGCACCAAGCACATGACCAACTTTTAAATTTGTACAGAATTACACAAGCATCTTAATTTATGAAAACTTGGATAATAAGTCATGTGAAGAGACAGTGTCTAAAAGACATTTTCTACAACCTGTCATGAATGATACATTTTTAAAATGAAAAAGAAAAGGGCAAAAAGAAGGTATTACCTGAATTCTGGACTCCAGGTCATAGATTTAGTCTTGAAGTTCCAAAAGTCTCTATTCATCTGATAGACTAAATGCTGAACACATAGGAGTCTCTAAAATCTGTTCTCAGTTCTATATCACTACCTTCACCAAAAGCATTTCTTCCACTGTTATCTTACCAAAAAAGCACTGAAGCCATAAGCTATACTGGTTAGCAATCTCTAAGAGCAAATCTAATAGTTAATTACATAAGTCACCTCAAGCACATGCAAGATAGTTCTGTCATTAAAACTAATTTTGGAACTAAAGGTAGCAGATGGGCTTACTGAATGGAAGACAGTGAAAATATCTTTATAAGATGAAGAAAGTTATGGGAAACAGATGTTCAAATTAGGGTGGGGAGTATGACATACAGAGTCATATAGTATGAACCGTTTTTTTGGCAATATTTCCCAATGCAATGATGTGTTCATTCAATAGAGCATCTGCTAGATCACATGTGAGAGTTAGTTTGGAAAAAAGCCATTAAAAATCTTTACCAGTGAATGACTGATGTAATTTTAATATAACTAACAAAACACACACACACACACACACACACACACACACACTGGCCTGTGTAAGGAAATCTTTGTTCTCAAGATAATAATGAAAAATTTTTAAATAAGATTTGTTTTGAATGGAATGTTTTTTGTTAAGATTATCATAGAGAGGAGAGGTAATATTTCCTCCTTCAAATCTTTAATAATACAATATTTATACTTTGTGTGTACACTCATCCCAGACATGCAATGTGCTTCAAGGCAAAGAATTAGGAAAATTCAAAATGTATTATTTGTAACTGACATTTGTATTTTTCTTTAAAAGTGTCAGCAAAGGTTTACTATCTTGACCAGGCTCTTAGAACTAGGATATAATGTAATTTAGAGTAAATTTAAGAATCTTTAAAGCTTCTGTTTTATATAATGGTTTTATAGGTATAACTTTAATCTAGTTTAGGTGTTTCTAAATAAATTTTGTCTGTAATTCACAACTCAGCCTTTATAAAAATTATAATCTTTAAGAAAGACCCTAAAACTTAGAAATAAGACAAAGCAATTCAACAAAGAACATCTCATTTAAATTATTTTGAATGTCCAAAAATTAGGAGACACAACACCTAACAGAAATTACTTTGAAAACTAGAGATCTTATTTACATAAATTTTTAAAAATAGAAATAAGAAATTAGCAACATGCATTTAAAAAAAAAAAAAAAAAAAAAAAGAAAGCCAAAAGAAAGGAAGTTAGTGTAGCTGGGCCAGACTTACATGCTGCCTATCTTAGAAGGGAAGCCAGATGGGGGAGGGAGCTCTTTTTCCCTAGCAGAAGTACTTGTCTCTGTATTCATTCCAATCTCTTGCCCTTCTGCAACAGGTGTAAGAGGGCCAGGCAAGGAGGCATCTCCTGTACTAGTGTCTGAAGCTAGTTCACTGCTATCTGCATACAGCAATTCCATTTGAGTGGTGGTTCTCCTTCGGGCCTAGTCAGAGAATGGAAGGAAAAACAATCATGTGCAAATTTTCGCAGGGAAGATGATTAGGCGATATTTAATATTAGTTTGAAATAGGTAAAACATTTAGCGTGTCTTTTCCTAGCAAGTGTGTCAAACATAACATGTAAGATAGTGACAAGCCAGAGCTACAGCCAGATAAGACCTTTAGAGGCCATAATAATAGCTAACATTTCTGTTGGATGCCAGAAATTGTTATAAATACTTTACTATATTAGTATATACTATCATTATCCCAATTCACAAATGAGAGAACTGAGGCACAGAGAAGGTAAAAGTCCAAAGTCACACAGCTAGTAAGTGGCAAAGCCAGATTCAAAACCAGGCAATCTGCCTCCAATATTATTGTGCTATACTGCCATTCATCGCCAGCTCCCTCAACATATCATTAAAAAAAAAAAAAGAAAGAAGAAAGAAATTAAACCAAAAGATAGTTGCAGGGACATTCAACTAAATTCTGATGTTTCCCAGGCTTAGATGATTTATTTAATATAAATTTTAATTCATTTTACTATCTACTTTTACATCTGTTTCTCCTTTTTTATGACCCTGCCCCCCTGATGCTTTAACTGGGTGTTTAATCTGCCTGCTGGATATCTACCATCAGTCCATACCAGCTTTTGGCAGCATGGTGAGGCAGGTGAAGGTTATTTTCCTAGAATCTAAATTTACCATAAGCATTCCCTTCCATACTCCTGAAAAACCAGTGGGACTACCTTGTTGTTAACGCTTAGAGTTGGCTGCTATCGCTAATGTATTAACAGATAATCAAGGTGTTTACCAGATTAGAAACCTCTAAAGGGCAGACAACCTGTTTTATTCAACTTTGTATCCCCTGCATCTAACATAGTGCTGGTAAATATCTATTTAAAATATATACTCAACTTCACTTTTTCAATGAGTGAAAAATAAATAATATGAGAACCTTTTAGGCATCTTTGCAGTTCAAAAGGAGTGGTAGATAATACCAGAAAACTTTTGGAAAGAGAAAGCCCTGAAGCCAACCTTTTACCCTGTCAGTTCTCCCTACTGCAAATTGAGTCATTTTCTTGGGAATTCCAAACCACGGTGGGTTTTTTTAGGAGATGACCTTTAGGCTACCACTTCACATTTCTCTCTGGCTTTCACAAGGCTTTAAAGACTAAGTTACCTTAGGAGATTCTCTCCTCCACTTAAGACTGGATCCAAACTATACTCGAATGCTTTCTTTGAGTTTGGGTAACTTCTACTTAGTCACTTAGAATAATAAAACACAAACCACATGTCACCAAGCCAGTACCTCAAGGACCATACATAAAGACTGGAGATGTTTTTCAGTCGGCTAGCCCAGTATTTTAAGGATAAGGAAATTCTCCATTAAAATCCATATTTAAAGCTTCTGTTTAAAACGTTGAGGATCTGGTAGCCTTAGGCCCATATTCCATCATGGCAAAAATAAGCAGTAGTTGAGTGGTGGCTATTTGCTTTAGATGGAGCATGCCCACTTCAGGTAATCATAATAATCCCTATTAATTACCTTACATCCAGCCAAATTACTCATTTATATTACCTGGCTAACCACTGTGGGCCTTAAATCCATCCTGTCCATTAGCACAGTACTGTTCTTTTGAGTCCTGATTTCATCCATTCATTCAACAAATATTTACTAAGCACTGCAAGAATTCTTTGTTTTCAAACATCTTAAGATAGTTAATTCACCTAGTATCAAATGTTACCAACACTCAATCTGAAATAGACCATGTGTTTCTTACACATTTAACAGTATGTGTCCTTTATTTTTTTAAGCTTCACAAATATACATTATAGCATCAATTTTCAATACAAAATGATGATTAAGAGTTGGCCTATTCAAACCACTTCAAGACACAGTTAAACAAAATAAATAAGGAATACTTGAGGACATACTAGAATGTTAAAATTTCAAAAATCTCCTGTCAATCTAAATTATTTTTAAGGATTGTTTTCCATAATCATATCTTATCTAGTAGAAAAAGTACAAGAATACAGTAAATCACAAGTTTCACAAAGGAGCAATTTTTCAATATAAATTTTTTTCAAGGGAGAATATGATAAAGAACTAAATTTCTTACACATGAAATCTTTGGTAAAAGCATGCCTACTTGCTGACCTATTAAAAGTCAAACCTGAAGCCTATGTGATTAATAGTGACAATAAAGAACAGCAGAAAAAATGTTTACCTGGTATTTTCAATTCTCCTTACCTTGTTTTTAGGTTTCACTTCACCACAAAGCTTCATAAGGTCTGAAGAGAGTGAGCTATGTGCAAATAAGTAATTAACCACATGATTAAAAGGGAACTTATAGAAAACTGTATGTCCTCTAATGAGTACAAGTATGGAAAAAAATTTATATGCCTACAGAAAACACAGAAAGACAATATTTAAAATCAAAATAAACTAATTAAAATAGTCCATTTTCCTTCCTTAAATATCCCAGTATTTTTATTTTAAAGTTTTTGATGGTTAAACATTACTTAGTTGGGCTTCCATATTACTGTTTCTAGTTCTCTTCACTTAGCCATAAAATCCAAAATTATTTGTTTTATGGTAATTCTTTGATGCACAGGATAAAAGTATTAAAAATATTAAGAAATAAGTCAAATCTATTAAGTTTCTAAAGCCTCTCTTACCTTCCTTCTGATCCTGGGCTGTTTAAAGGTACATCCTCATCAGTGCTGTCCTCTACATTTTCTAAAAAAATGTCCAAAATGTAAGTATTATCCACATGTCACAATTTGAATGATGACTGTAATCCCTATGCTATAATAAGCAACAGCCCAAGTTCTCTCAATATGGGCACTTTGGTTTTAGTAACTGAATCAAATTAGAAATGTAAAAAACTATTTCTAAGAAACTCCTTTGATTATATGTCCTAGGGTGAGAAAAATATGTTCAAAATAGGAAAGCTATGAGTTGAATGATAAAACAAAGAACAGCATTCACAGGATGGAAATGAGATCATGTATTTATCAGAGTATGTATAATTATTTATATATTTTTCAGAGTATGTATTTATCCCACACCATCCATTTATCCCATGTATGAAAAACCACTGAGTAAAACACAAGATTAAAGTAAATGCTGCATGCGCTCCCTTTAATGTACTGAGCCAACTTCAAAAACTACATAGGTATAAACATAGTTGTTGTACTTTATCAGTATTCCAACTTATATATTTTCCTTTATTTTTATTTTTGTTTTCAAGTAGAGAGAGAGAATGTGTGTGTGTCAAGGTATTCAGGAGTTACATACCAGCATGCAGCTCATTCACATGTACATAAAAGACTAAAACTACAGGTTTCCATGCAACAGTTTTGTAGATAAATACAAACAAACCACTGCTATTTCAGAACAACTGTAGCACACTAATAAAAAGAGAGGAAAAAGCAAACATACAAAACTAGTAGGAAGTCAGTAAATAAATCAGCCACTGAAAGTAAATTATTTAAAATGTCAGTGAGCCCCTAACACAGGTGCAAGTTTTCAAAACTTATACATTTTATTATAAAGCCATTCCACAAAACTAAAGGCAATATTATCAACAATATATACGTTGAGGACTTCCCTCGTGGTCCAGTGGTAAAGAATCCGCTTCCAATGCAGGGGATGTGGGTTCGATCCCTGGTCAGGGAACTAAGATCCCACATGCCGCAGGGCAACTAAGCCCTTGTGCCACAACTACCAAGCTCGCACACCTGAACAAGAGAGCCCGCCTGCCGCAACTATAGAGCTCATGTGCTCTGGAGCCCATGTGCCACAACTAGAGAGAGAAAACCCACACACCACAACTAGAGAAGCCCAGGCACCGCAACTAGAGAGAAGCCCGAGCAGACCGTGCACCGTAATGAAAAGATCACTTGTGCCTCAACAAAGATCCTGTGTGTTGCAACTAAGACCTGATGCAGCCAAAAAATTAAGGAAAATAAATAAAATATTTAAAAACAATTATATATAGGTCAGTGAAAAATATACAGTATTCATCCCCCTTTAACTTTTACATTTATATCATACAGGTGGATTATGCTCATAAGTCAACTAATTCCTTTCTCAGATGCTCCCATTCTTCCTCACTGTTTAGCAGACACTTCGATAGAAATTCAGTAATACTTGATAGCATTATCTAAAATGGAGCCCATCTAGGACCCACACAAAGGGAGTTTACTTTCTGAAATGAGCAAAATGGTGGTCTTGAAGGCAATGTGTATCTCAAAGCCCACGCTGCAGGCTGGAGGATGTGCTTCACAGAAAGGATAATTGAGTGCTAAGGTGACTGAATTAGTCAATAACATAGAAAATGTAAAGAAATGACAAATCTAGTCTTTAGTTTTCCATGTTTAAAAGCAGGCTAAGATTGACCAGTAATTTTCTTGTAGGGAGTGATGAAACAAGTTAGTATATTAAACATCATATGAATGCTCAGTAAAAACTACTTAGCTCCTGCATATGCATATATGCCTTATTTAGAGATAATTACAGTTTGACATAACCAACCTAGCCAGAGGATACAACCCTCCACCCAGACATTCACCAAATTAGACACCTCTTCAGGACTGAACTTTGTCTGTAGCACTACAGCCATCTGAGCAGCAGGACATGCCATCACCTCACTACTCTACTCTCAACTCTAAGAACATAATTCCAGACCAACACCAGCTTCTCTTCTCATCACTGAGCATTAAAGCTAAAAGCAGAGACTTAAAACTGCAAAATGCTTTAAAGTTCATACATATCGGTACACAGCTGCATAATCTCACATCACTAGAAGTTAACCAAACAGTTACTATTAAAGTCTTTTTTAAAGTTCATATAGGTATATAGATATGTATATGTGTGTGTGTGTATATATATATATATATATATATATATATATATATGTATATATATATATATATATATATACATATATATATATATGGTGTATGGAAAAGAGTTAACATAGCAGCCCAGAGACTACTATCCTTAGAAAGGCCTCCTTGCAAGGTTGGACTTTGTCTGTCATCTGAAACTTGGCTCTCAGAGTATCCCTAGTCATCAGTTAACTAGTGAGGGAAGCTCATTATACCTAGAACATTTGTGCAAACAATATGGCTTATGCTGAGAACTCCTGCTTTCCTTCTGGAGTCTGAAATTCTCATATATACTAGACAAAGCGTGCCTATGTGACTAGTTCCCAGTAAAAACCTCAGGTGCTGAGTGTCTAATGGACTTCCTTGGGTGTAAACTATGCACACATGTTGTTGCATTTTCATTCCAGGGGGAAAAGTGCATTCTGTATGATGTTTCCTGGGAGGGAGAGAGCATAAGGCAGCCTGGACATGGATTCCTCCTGACTCCATCTGAGTCTTTTTCCTTTACAATCTTGTTGTGTATCATTCCTACATTGCTCTCATAAATCTTTGCCATGAATACAACTATATGCTGAGCCCCCTGAGTCTTCTAGCAAATCCCCAAACATAGGAAAAGATCCTAGGAACACCAACATAGGTAGGGAAAAAAGAAGGGGAAAATAAAGATGTTCTTCAAAGGCTACAACAATACAAGCCTATTAGCATGGAGTACCAGCCCTTGCTCCCCCTCTAGCCTTATGTTCATCATCCTACACCACATACTTGTTGCTCCAGAGCACCAACCTGCTTGAAGTCCTCATTCATACAATATTTTGGCTAAATGTCCAACTTTTAACTTACTCCCTGCTCAGAGTGACTCTTCTGCCCAGCCCCTTTCCACCTTGTCTCTTGCCTGGCCTAAATCTTTTTCTTCATTTATGTTTCAGCTCAAATTTCACCCCCTCCAGAAGGCCTTCATCAACTCCTCCATTCTTGTTGGGTAGCCCCATTCTGTGTTCCCATAATTCCCTGTACATATCTCAATCTCTGCCCTCTCTGCAATGTATCATAATCTGTTCATGGTCTGTCACCCTCAGCAAGGTATCAAGTCCATGAGGGCAAGATTCTGTGTCTTATTTATCTTTGAATCCTAGCACCCAGCCCAAAGTTGAGATAAATTGAAACTAAATAAATATTTTTTAAAGCAATGAATATAATATGACCGTCTAGTTTCTGTGTATTTAACTTCCATGTTTTTCTCCTTCCGTGCTTTTCATCTAAGCACCTCTCGTCTAGATTATGGCCTTAGGGAAAATTTATGCCATGAGTCACAGGTTATATCAGCTGAATGTGTTTCCCCTCTCTGCTTTTGACCCTTCTTTAAGCTACAGATAATTAAAAGTTGTTTGAAAGCTGTGAAAAAGTAACAATGCACATCAAATAGTTTAATATTTTCTGCACAAAAGGACATCAAAGAGGGCATTGCATTTTTCTTCCCAGTTAAAAGAGATAATGGACTTAAATAAGAATTTATTTATTACTATAAATTGAGCCACTAAGATGAAGAAGAACAAAGAAAAGTCAGAGGAGGAGGAGGGGGAGAAGAATAAGAGGAAGGAGGAGGAAGAGGAAGAGGAAAAGAAACATGCTTAATAACACATGGAATGGCAAAAATTCTGGTTATAATTCAGAAATTTGGGCAGCCTAAAATGGTTCCTTAATATAACCAATCCTTTTTCTACCTGTCTTTGTTATAGCTTGAGCAGGATAAAAGTTGTAGTCTGTCCATATCTGTATTATGGAATTGATCTCAAGGAAATACTATTTTGATATTTAACACACAGGGTAAACGTCTAAAAAAATCAAACAGCGCTTCCCTGGTGGCGCAGTGGTTGAGAGTCCGCCTGCCAATGCAGGGGACATGGGTTCGTGCCCCGGTCTGGGAAGATCCCACATGCCGCGGAGCGGCTAGGCCCGTGAGCCATGACCGCTGAGCCTGCGCGTCTGGAGCCTGTGCTCCACAACGGGAGAGACCACAACAGTGAGAGGCCCGCGTACCGCAAAAAAAAAAAAAAAAAAAAAAAAATCAAATAGCTCATGTATTTTATTTGCATCGTTTAAAATAAATTCAGATTCATAGGTTATGTTTATTTTAATAACCCAGAGAGGAAATTACATTTAATCTTTCAGTTACATTCCTCTCCATCAAGTATTAGAAAATTTTGACAGCTGCGTGATTAGAAAAAAATTAAGATCAGATTTTGAAATAATTTTAAATAAAAACTGGTCCAAAATAATCATTCACGAAAATTGTAAGTAATAAAATTACTGATGCTTCTGATCCTTCATGTATATAACCACTAGGAGGAGTATAGATATTACTCATGAGTGGGTGTAGTTCACATGAATGTTGTAGTGGCAAGGGAAAATGTCAAAAATCTCAATACTCAGTGATATCTAAAGCTCTAACTTGAAAATATTATAATTATAAATAATGTTTTAATCTGTTCATTAAAATCCTTTGGATAGCTTTATTCAAGTTACAATATTAAAATATACGTGGCTTAATTTTATAAAACTTAAGAACAACTGAGAATCTAGCAAATATAAACCAAAGACAAGTATATATAAAAGATAAATAACACAGAAAGTTACTTATGAGGGTAAAACAACAGATTCAAGTTAACAGATTTAAAAATTAAAAAGGAATATATGTTCCATTTTTTCCTACAAGAAAGAGGGGCTTATGCAACTGGAACCAAATTTGGAGTTCAAATAATAAAATAGAAAAATAAACATACTTCTTTAAACATCTAAGAACTTAAAAATCAGGAAATGTGTAAGAAAGACAAAAGACTTAGTATGTTTGTGGTCAAAGATACATTTCATAAAGGATCATGCAAAAACCAGCTCGCTGCCAATAAAAATTTTTAAATAAGATGTACCACAATTAGTGTACATGAACAATTAGTAATTCATGCAGCTGTAGGGTACACAGAAAGCTAAACATACTTACCTAATGGTATGCTATCTAGATCTGTGTAAATAACAGCAAAAAGGAAACAAAAAGCAATACTCCAATCAAAACAAATCCAATGTTAAGAACTCTCATATAAAACAAGATTATGTATCATTTATAAGATATGTAGAATAGATGCCATAGCAAACACTTATAAATTTATTTTTTAAGGCAGTTAGATATGTAAAGTAATGAAACTTGGTTAATACTTTAAATAATTTAAACAACCAATTCAGAAGCATGGTTGATCTTATTTATTCATAAAAACTAATTGCTTAATAATGCTAAGTAAGCCTTTTTAAGTTGCTAATCATTTCTTGCAATGACAATAATTACATCCCCCAAAATTTATACATGCAAATTAAAGCAGGAATAATTATCAAAAGCATAAGTAAATACAGCATCTATTCAGTCAAGCTATAGGGAAAAAAGGTAGCGTATAGCATACTCAAAGAGCAAAGTTACCATGCAATTTATTTAACTAAATTTAATCCAAATTACCTTGTAAAGCATGACCTAGTAAAGCATCTAGCTCAGGATTTAATTCTGCTTTCTCTTTCAACATATGAAATAAGAGCTGGTTTTGTGTAGCACTGGTTATTTCAGTTTGTTTAAGCCGACCTTCAAGTACTTTAATTTGAGCCTCTTTCTGGGCAGCCTGAAGACCCTATAACAACACCCCCCCCAAAAAAAAAATTATCTTAGATCATACAAAACAGAATCTACCACACAAAGATCTGTATCAAATAGCAAATGCATATGATGTATGGACTCTGACATTAAATAGATCTCGATTCATCCCAGCTTCTGCACTTGCAAGCTCATTGACCCTAAGCAAGTTACCTTATCTTCCCGATTCTCAGTTTCCAAATATTCAAATGATATGAATACCTTATCTTCCCGATTCTCAGTTTCCAAATATTCAAATGATATGAATGATTCTTACTTCCTTCCACGTTGTGAGGATTAAGTGAGAGAACAAACCATTAAAGGTCTAGCACAGTCTCAACGTGGGAAAAAAGGTGAGTCAGAAATTATCAACTTTAACATTTAGGCAGAAGTTTCTGAAGACAAGGAGAGTGCAACTGTATTTTTTCCTTTCTGATTTTTTTTGAGCACCCTAAGAGATTTTTCTTTTAACTTTTCCTTTGTTAAAGTGAAAAAGAAATTATTTATTCTTTAAGTTGTTTACCTGTTCTAATACACAAGCACAATAGATGAGAAGCTAATGGAATTGATGTAAATACTGCTGAGTTTTCTTAACTCTAAGGAAAAGAATCTTCCTCCTTATTACAAAGGAAAGGGTCAATAGAGAAAGATAAGCAAAATTGCAATGAATTAACCAAAGCTTAGGTTTTCAATAATAGTGTAGTTAGAACTTACCTTATTGATACCCATTGTCAGGAAGTGATCTAGCAGGTATCTGGCTTCTGTAAGTGTACAAGCATTAATGACTGCAGTGACATCCAACGTTTCTCCTTCTTCCTACATCAAACCAACATATGATGTATCATTACCTTGACCTGAATGTATTTAACAGAAGACAAAGCCATTGTTTCATGCATTTATTTGATATTATTGGATTAGCTAATGTGACTCCACAGAAAAGTATAAAATATGATCCCTACTCCAAGAAACATATGGTCTAGTTTAAAAGACAAGACATTTGAGCAGTTAAGAACTAAAGGTTGATTAATACATTATATATGCATTGTGTAAACAATAATAATATCACAAAATAGGAACAGAAATGGAAAGCAGACAGGGAGTGGTATACATGTAAAACCTAAGAATCACATTAAACCACAGACAGAAAATCCCTTCATATAAAAATTCAAAGTGTTTTTAATGACAAAAAATACAAAAATACTTCTTATTAAGTCATTAAACATTTTTTTAGTTACAAACCTTTGCTTCTTCCATCTGCATGATGTTGGCTTGACAATCAGAAATACTGTCATTGATATAATCTATATTAGCAGTTAATGACTCCATCTCCTCATTGATGGTAACCACATTTTTATCTCCCTCTCCATTTTCCTTGACTATCTTTTCCCTTCTTTTTGAAAGCTTCTCTCGTCTTTTTGTGAGTTCTTCCCTTTGCTATTGAGAAAACAGATTTGATTTCAAGAAATTATTTTCATCTAGGACCTTGAGAACATTATGCCAAATGAAATGAGTTAACAAAAGGGCAAATACTGCAGGATTCCACTTATATGAGGCAACTAAAATAGTCACACTCGTAGAAGCAGTAAATAGAATGGTGGCGACCAAGGGCTGGGGGGAGGAGGAAATGGGGATCTGCTGTTCAGTGGATATAAAGTTTCAGTTATGCAAGAGGAGTAAGTTATAGAACTCTTCTTTACAACATTGTGTTTATAGCTAACAACACTGTGCTGTACATTTAAAAATGTGTTAAGAAGGTAGCTTTCATGGTATCTGATCTTACCACAATTAAAAAAAAAGAAATGGAGATAGCCTCAACCACCAGAGGGCAGACAGCAGAAGCAAGAAGAACTACAATCCTGCAGCCTGTGGAACAAAAATCACATTCACAGAAAGTGAGAGAAGATGAAAAGCAGAGGGCTATGTACCAGATGAAGGAACAAGATAAAACCGCAGAAAAACAACTAAATGAAGTGGAGACAGGCAACCTTCCATAAAAAAAATTCAGAATAATGATAGTGAAGATGATCCAAGACCTCGGGAAAACAATGGAGGCAAAAATTGAGAAGATGCAAGAAATGTTTAACAAAGACCTAGAAGAATTAAAGAACAAACAAACAGAGATGAACAATACAATAACTGAAATGAAAACTACACTAGAAGGAATGAATAGCAGAATAACTGAAGCAGAAGAACAGATAAGTGACCTGGAAGACAGAATGGTGGAATTCACTGCTGAGGAACAGAATAAAGAAAAAAGAATGAAAAGAAATGAAGACAGCCTAAGAGACCTCTGGGACAACATTAAATGCAAGAACATTCACATTATAGGGATCCCAGAAGAAGAAGAGAGAGTGAAAGGACCTGAGAAAATATTTGAAGAGATTATAGTCAAAAACTTCCCTACATGGGAAAGGAAATAGCTACCCAAGTCCAGGTCCACAGAGAGTCCCATAAAGGATAAACCCAAGGAGAAACACGCCGAGACACATAGTAATCAAATTGGCAAAAATTAAAGACAAAGAAAAAGTATTGAAAGCAGCAAGGGAAAACCAACAAATAACATACAAGGGAACTCCCATAAGGTTAACAGCTGATTTCTCAGCAGAAACTACAAGTGAGAAGGGGGTGGCATGATATACTTAAAGTGATGAAAGGGAAGAAACTACAACCAAGATGACTCTACCACAAGGATCTCATTCAGATTCGATGGAGAAATCAAAAGCTTTACAGACAAGCAAAAGCTAAGAGAATTCAGCACCACAAAACCAGCTCTACCACAAATGAAAAAGGAACTTCTCTAAGTGGGAAAGACAAGGAAAGGACCTACAAAAACAAACCCAAAACAATTAAGAAAATGGGAATAGGAACATACATATCGATAATTACCTTAAACGTGAACGGATTAAATGCTCCAACCAAAAGACACAGCCTTGCTGAATGGATACAAAAACAAGACCTATATGTATGCTGTCTACAACAGACCCACTTCAGATCTAGGGACACATACAGACTGAAAGTGAGGGGATGGAAAAAGATATTCCAAGCAAATGGAAATAAAAAGAAAGCTGGAGTAGCAATATTCATATCAGATAAAATAAACTTTAAAATAAACAATGTTACAAGAGACAAAGAAGGACACTACATAATGATCAAGGGATCAATACAAGAAGAAGATATAACAATTATAAATATATATGCACCCAACATGGGAGCACCTCAATACACAAGGCAACTGCTAACAGCTATAAAAGAGGAAATCGACAGTAACACAATAATAGTGGGGGACTTTAACACCTCACTTGCACCAATGGACAGATCATCCAAAATGAAAACAAATAAGGAAAGAGAAGCTTTAAATGACACAATAGACCAGATAGATTTAATTGATATTTATAGGACATTCCATCCAAAAACAGCAGATTACACTTTCTTCTCAAGTGTGCACAGAACATCCTCCAGGATTGATCACATCTTGGGTCACAATTCAAGCCTCAGTAAATTTAAGAAGATTGAAATCATATCAAGCATCTTTTCTGACCACAACACTATGAGACTAGAAATGAATTATAGGGGAAAAAAAAGTAAAAAACACAAACACATGGAAGCTAAACAATACATTACTAAATAACCAAGAGACCACTGAAGAAATCAAAGAGGAAATCAAAAAATACCTAGAGACAAATGACAATGAAAACACAACAATCCAAAACCGAGGGGATGCAGCAAAAGCAGTTCTAAGAGGGAAGTTTATAGCTATAGAAAGCCTACCTCAAGAAACAAGAAAAATCTCAAGTAAGCAATCTAACCTTACACCTAAAGGAACTAGAGCAAAAAGAACAAACAAAACACAAAGTTAGCAGAAGGAAAGAAATCATAAAGATCAGAGCAGAAATCAATGAAATAGAGACAAAGAAAACAATAGCAAAGATCAATAAAACTAAAAGCTGGTTCTTTGAGAAGATAAACAAAATTGATAAACCATTAGCCAGACTCATCAAGAAAAAGAGGGAGAGGACTCAAATCAATAAAATTAGAAATGAAAAAGGGGAAGTTACAACAGACACCGCAGAAATACAAAGCATCATGAGAGACTACTACAAGCAACTTTATGCCAATAAAATGGACAACCTGGAAGAAATGGACAAATTCTTAGAGAGGTATAACCTTCCAAGACTGAACCAGGAAGAAATAGAAAATATGAACAGACCAATCACAAGGAATGAAATTGAAACTGTGATTAAAAATCTTCCAAATCTTCCATTGGCTGTGAAGCCAATCTTCCTGGCTTCACAGGTGAATTCTATCAAACATTTAGAGAAGAGCTAACACCCATTCTTCTCAAACTCTTCCAAAAAATTGCAGAGGAAGGAACACTCCCAAACTCATTCTATGAGGCCACCATCACCCTGATATCAAAACCAGACAAAGATACTACAAAAACAGAAAATTACAGACCAATATCACTGATGAATATAGATGTAAAAATCCTCAAGAAAATACTTGCAAACAGAATCCAACAACACATTAAAAGGATCATACACCATGATCAAGTGGGATTTACCCCAGGGATGCAAGGTTTCTTCAATATACGCAAATCAATCAGTGTGATACACCATATTAACAAATTGAAGAATAAAAACCATATGATCATCTCAATAGATGCAGAAAAAAGCTTTTGACAAAATTCAACACCCATTTATGATAAAAACTGCCCAGAAAGTGGGCATAGAGGGAACCTATCTCAACATAATAAAGGCCATATATGAGAAACCAACAGCAAATATCATTCTCAACGGTGAAAAACTGAAAGCATTTCCTCTAAGATCAGGAACAAGACAAGGATGTCCACTCTCACCACTATTATTCAACATAGTTTTGGAAGTCCTAGCCACAGCAATCAGAGAAGAAAAAGAAATAAAAGGAATACAAATTGGAAAAGAAGAAGTAAAACTGTAGCTGTTTGCAGATGACATGATACTATACATACAGAATCCTAAAAATGCCACCAGAAAACTCCTAGAGCTAATCAATGAATTTGGTAAAGTTGTAGGATACAAAATTAATGCACAGAAGTCTCTTCCATTCCTAAACACTAATGATGAAAAATCTGAAAGAGAAATTAAGGAAACAATCCCATTTACCACTGCAACAAAAAGAATGAAATACCTAGGAATATACCTACCTAGGGAGACAAGAGACCTGTATGCAGAAAACTATAAGACACTGATGAAAGAAATTAAAGATGATACCAACAGATGGCGAGATATACCATGTTCTTGGATTGGAAGAATCAACATTGTGAAAATGACTATACTACCCAAAGCAATCTATAGATTCAATGCAATCCCTATCAAATTACCACTGGCATTTTTTACAGAACTAGAACAAAAAATCTTAAAAGTTGTATGGAGACACAAAAGACCCTGAAGAGCCAAAGCAGTCTTGAGGGGAAAATAACGGAGCAGGAAGAATCAGACTCCCTGACTTCAGACTATACTACAAAGCTACAGTAATCAAGACAATACGGTAGTGGCACAAAAACAGAAACATAGATGAATGGAACAAGATAGAAAACCCAGAGATAAACCCACGAACCCATGGTCAACGAATCTATAACAAAGGAGGCAAGGATATAAAATGGAGAAAAGACAGTCTCTTCAATAAGTGGCACTGGGAAAACTGGACAGCTACATGTAAAAGAATGAAATTAGAACACTCCGTAACACCATACACAAAAATAAACTCAAAGTGGATTCGAGACCTAAATGTAAGACCGAACACTATAAAACTCTTAGAGGAAAACATAGGAAAGAACACTCTTTGACATAAATCACAGCAACAACTTTTTTGATCCACCTCCTAGAGTAATGGAAATAAAAACAAAAATAAACAAATGGGACCTAATGAAACTTAAAAGCTTTTACACAGGGCTTCACTTGTGGCGCAGTGGTTGAGAGTCCGCCTGCCGATGCAGGGGACACGGGTTCATGCCCCAGTCCGGGAAGATACCACATGCCATGGAGCAGCTGGGCCTGTGAGCCATGGCCGCTGAGCCTGTGCATCCAGAGCCTGTGCTCCGCAACAGGAGAGGCCACAACAGTGAGAGGCCCATGTAGCGGGAAAAAAAAAAAAAAAGGTTTTGCACAGCAAAGTAAACCATAAACAAGACGAAAAGACAACCCTTGGAATGGGAGAAAACATTTGCAAACGAATCAACAGACAAAGGATTAATATCCAAAATATATAAACAGCTCATGCAGCTCAATATTAAAGAAACAAACAACCCAATCCAAAAATGGGTAGAAGACCTAAATAAACATTTCTCCAAAGAAGACATACAGATGGCCAAGAAGCACATGAAAAGCTGATCAACATCACTAATTATTAGAGAAATGCAAATCAAAACTACAATGAGGTATCACCTCCCACCAGTTAGAATGGGCATCATCAGAAAATCTACAAACAACAAACACTGGAGAGGGTGTGGAGAAAAGGGAATCCTCTTGCACTGTTGGTGTGAATGTAAATTGATACAGCCACTATGGAGAACAGTATGCAGGTTCCTTAAAAAACCAAAAATAGAATTACCATATGATCCAGCAATCCCACTACTGGGCATATACCCAGAGAAAACCTTAATTCAAAAAGACACATGCACCCCAATGTTCACTGCAGCACTATTTACAATAGCCAGGTCATGGAAGCAACCTACATGCCCATCAACAGACAAATGGATAAAGAAGATGTGGTACATATATACAATGGAATATTACTCAACCATAAAAAGGAACGAAATTGGGTCATTTGTTGAGACGTGGATAGATCTAGAGACTGTCATACAGAGTGAAGTAAGTCAGAAAGAGAAAAACAAATATCGTATATTAACGCATGTATGTGGAACCCAGAAAAATGGTACAGATGAACCAGTTTGCAGGGCAGAAGTTGAGACACAGATGTAGAGAACAAACGCATGGACACCAACGGGGGAAAGCCACAGGGTGGTTGGGGATGGTGGTGTGATGAACTGGGCGATTGTGATTGACATGTATACACTGATATGTATAAAACTGATGACTAATAAGAACCTGCTCTATAAAAAAATAAAAAAAAGAAAGAAATGGTATTCATCTATTCATATACAATGCAACCACCCACCCCTCTACACACACAAAAAAACTTGGCAAGCATTCAATTTACCCAGGGAACAAATTTAGAAAACTAAAATTAACAGCTAAGGGAGAGCATATCTACTTTCTATTTTCCACACCTTGAGGAACCTATTCATATCAGCCTCCATATTGGAAATAGTCATTTTCTGCATGATGATGTCTGTGACCCTGCGTTCAAGAAGCTGCCACTTCATGCGAGCTGTCTTAGAAGTAAACACTCGGCCTGTCAATCCTTTCCTCTGATATTTTTTTCTAGAATCATATAAAAACAAACATAGTTACTTATGTGCTTATTTGATTATGTCCTGCCAAATAATGAGCTGTTTTTCATTTAAGTCCAACATTCAGTAATGCAAAGATTATGTCAGGAGGAACAGAAGAATCATGTTGACCTGGTTCCATTTGTCGTGGGTGTTGGTAAGGCCTGGACTCTTGCCACAGGAATTCTCATTTTCTGCTGGGCTCCAGCCCTTGATGCATCTGTTTCTATGGTAGTTGCACTGGAACCTGTGTCCTGAACAGGGGTATCAGTTGAGCTCAGCTTCCGAGTGACTTTCCCAGCCACTTTATCTGACATGGGCCTTACTTGCCGACGAAGAGCTGTAACCTGAAATAGCAATAGAGATTGACTCATGCTCTTAGTCTATAGAAATCTCAAAGCCAGAATGTTTCCTCCAAATGGTCAACTTGCCTCTTCTGTTTTGCGACGAAGAACCACTTCTTGGTTTCTTTTTTGGGCTTCCAGAAGTCTAAGTTGATGCTATAAAATAATATTGAATAAGTTAAAATAGGAAACTGAAAGATATAATACTTCCTACTCCTGCATTAACATGTTTCCCCACTCCACTGGGAACTGTAAGGGTTCTTAGCAGTATCTGAGCTAACACTCAGCTTGCATCCATTACTACAGACATAGATATTTTATTTCAATAAACACAAAGGCATACTTATATAGCCATTTCTCTCTGAAAATAAAAACTTATCTCTGTGACACATACTTTTATTTAAGAAACACTAATATAGGGCTTACTATATACAAATACTTTTCTAAATGCTTTACAAATATTGTCTCATTTCATTTTTGCAGGACATTTTGTTTTGGTTGCTGGCTAAGGCGTGATTAGGAAGAAACACAGCTTAGAATTTTTTCAATAGAGGCATCTTACAATATATACAGTAGTTATAAACTATTTTAAACACAGGGAGAATATATATTAATTGTATTAGCACTTTATACTAACTTTGGAAATGTTATTTCCAAATAACATTGGAAATAATTGTTTTATTGTTGGACAGTAAAACAAACTAGCTACCAATTTGTTTTTTAGGTAGTCTATATGATAAAGACAATTATTAATTATTTTAAGCCACTTTCTAGGGATATAATTTAGGAAATAATCTTGATCACAATAGTCTTGATCACAGATAGCCTTGATCACAAATGTCTCTTCTAGGACTTTAATTCTGTGATGTAACAAATAACTCTCCATGTTCTGTATCCCAAATTCAAAGAGATGATACATCTCAAGTTTATGCACATTCTTCTATTATCAGATGGGAATTCTTTGAGAAAAAGAATCTATCTTATCACTGACATATCTTAATTGCCTACACAATAATAGACATAGAAGCAAAGTTAATAAATCTTTTTTTAAATGAATGAACTATCAAAAACTAACTATAGTTTTAAGCTTCTTACTACATTTAATTTCTTCATATTAAAAATAAAATCTCAAGCTCATTCATATTTTTTGTATGATGTACATATTTGGTTCTCTAAGTGTTCAAAGCTGAATATTACAAGAAACAATACAGACAGGAGTTGAATATGCACACAAAGCAACAAATTAAAGGTAGGAGAACATCTGAAATGGTAGCTTTGTATGTGATTAGCCAGCCTCAGATCTTTATAATAGAATAGAGACATCATATGTTGTGGTTAAGATTCAAAAGTTCAATCCCAGGAGTTAACTGTTCAATATTGATCTCTCTATACATCATATGAATTAGTAATAAAGAAATAGGTAGCATACATTGTAAGGAAATTATTCCTGTTACCCAAAAGTTTTCATTAAAAACAAAATAAATAGGCCAAAAGTCAAAACAACCTAAATGCCAGCCAATCGAGGAATGGATTAGCAAAATGTGCTCTATGCATACAGCCATAAAAAGGAATGAACTACTGGGCTTCCCTAGTGGCGCAGTGGTTGAGAGTCCACCTGCCGATGCAGGGGACGCAGGTTTGTGCCCCGGTCCGGGAAAATCCCACATGCCGCGGAGCGGCTGGGCCCATGAGCCATGGCCGCTGAGCCTGCGCTCCGCAATGGGAGAGGCCACAACAGTGAGAGGCCTGCGTACCGCAAAAAAAAAAAAAAGGGAATGAACTACTGATACATGCTATAACATGGATGAACCTTGAAAACATGCTAAAATGAAAGAAGCCAGACACAAAAGGCTACATATTATATGATTCCATTTATATAAAATGTCTAGAATAAGCAAATCCACAGACAGAAAGTAGATAGGAGCCAGGGAGGAATGGAGAGTGATTGCTAATGGGTATGGGGTTTCTTTTTGGAGTGATGAAAATGTTCTGGAATTAGAGCGGTGACTGTTGCACAAATTTGTGAATATACTAAAATCATGAATTGTATAGTTTAAAACAGTGAACTTTATGGCATATAAATTTTCTCAGTTTTTTTAAAAAAGCAGAAAAAAAGACTAGACAGTATGTTAAAATGTGCTTCTACTCGATTTCAGTAGGAACGTATTGTTATAAACAAGATCTAAAATGCCCAGGAACTGAAAGTGATAAAATAGACTGATTATTAAAATACATTAATATCCTGGGAAAATAAATAAATACAGTCATAAATATGGGAGTCATCTGGCTAAAATACCTACTTTTCTATCTCATTGCTCACTCTTCTCTATCCCCTTAATTTCCTCTTTACCCCCCAAAGTAGATTTCTATTTTCTAAAATATCCTGTATGTTTATGTTTTCTTCAGGGAGAATTTAGAAAAAGTTGGTGAGAAAAAAAGAACAAGGGCTGAAACCTAACATATTGTGGAAAGGAAGGTGATGGCTTCTTTTTTTAAGAAAAAAATGTCATAAGAAATAACTATATTGCCAAAACTTTGGAAAGAAAAAAATCCAAACAACTATAACCCTAATACAACCACATTTAGCATATTGATATGTATCCTTCAAATTTTTCCCTCACTGTAAACAAGCACACATATATAAAATGTTACTTTACACTTAATGTGAAATCATAGTCATTTTTCATTTTATTATGCAGTTTCCAAATCCTAATTTTTAATGGATGAATAACCACCTTTTAAATGGGATGAACCATAATTTATTTAACTATTACCCTTACAGACACACATCTTAGTTGATTTTACAGTTTTCGTTACTACAAATAACGCTAAAGTGAAGATTTTAACACACTGTAAAGTAATTTGTCTTAGTTTAAATTATTTACTTAGTCTGAGTTCATGGAAGCAGAATTCTTGGGTCAAAGAATATGAAAATTTTTATAGCCCTTAGTAAAGCCTCTTCTAGTGAAGCCTGGTTATTATTCCAGAAACATTTATAAAAATCTCTAGTGGAAGCTGTCTTTGGAACCATCTTAAAATTACTATCTTATATAATACTGCAACTACTTCCTTGGTCTCCCTAGAAATAACCAGTCATTATTTGCCATTTTCTTCCATCTGATCATCTAGAAAATACGCCTCCAATAAAATTTATAATAATATTATAGTGTTTTTCATAAACTTTTATATGGAATTACTATAATCCACATACTATAATAAATGCCAAATTATAAAATGCTTATTTACTGTCCTTAACCTGTATTTAATAAAGTTATCAAAATATTTCTTTCATTTATTGAACAATCTTGTTGATATACAATATTCTTACATAACTGAGAGTTAAAGTCCACTCACATCTCTTTTACGTTGATCCTTTTTCAATTGAGCAATCTCTCTGTTTCTTCTAGACTCTGTCAATCTGGCTTTTTCTTGTTCTTCTTTCATTTGTTTCATCAAGCGAACCTAAAATATTAGGTAAATACATCTATTGTGATTACCCTATCACAATATTCATTAAATAAATCACATGTATGGAAAAATGTTCTTAGGATTCTGAATATTTAACAAGAAAAAAATGTGGAGTTTTGCTACACATTAAATGGTCAATTCTTATTTTTGTAAGATTAATATATTTATATTTATAATACATTTCTAACATACTTCTATCAAACTGCTTAGTGTTCTATGCTTTTTATATTCAATGTCCAGCTGTCCTATAACTTGAATGATTTTTTGGTATCTAACTTATTATCAGTAGCTGTGTGACCTTGAACAAGTTACTTAACAACTCTAGACTGGTTTTCTCATCTATAAAATGGAGGTAATAGTTCTATGGGATTGGATTCCTCTGAGAATTCAATGAGTTAATACCTGCACTATGCTTATAACAGTGCCTGGCACATAGTAAGCACCTAGCTATTTTAGCTATTTTTGCTGTCATCAGCAACTACACAACATAATAATCTACTTCTTAAATCATTTCCACATCTCCTATTTTAAGGAAACAACATTGATTTTCATGCCAAAAGTTAAGAATAATCCGTTCCACCACAAAAATAGTAACAGATTAGAATTCACATACTCTCTCTGGTCAAGGGAAGAAAACTTGTACTTTTCTATGCATGGGAATGATAACCACCAAATTCAAGATAGTTGTTACCTCTCAGGGAAAAGAGAATATGATCAGGAAGAGATATATAGGAAGCTTATGCATATTGGCAATGTTTAATACCTTAAACTAGACAGTGGATATATTGTTCATTATGTTATTATCTGTGCTTTCTTGCATGTTTGAAATATTTTATACTTTTGTTAAGTTTGTATAAGAGTTTTGTTTTGTTTTTAAAGTCAGAGAAGCTCTGCTGACCACATGATTTTCAGCTACTCCAAAGAAAGACTTTGACTATGGATGACTATAGGAAACAACTTTTAACTGCCAAAAGGAAGTACATCATTTCTAAGACTGGGTTACCTTTTATTGAATACAGGAAGAACCACAATAATTTTTTTTTGGCCCCAAAAGACACAAGCATCACCAACATCTACTGTTAATGGAAAATATAATCAATACCTTTGTTTTTTTCATTTCCATCACATCCTGCTGTAATTTCTTCAATTGCTTTTCATATTGGGACTGATTTTTAAGCAACCTTGCATGCTCTTTTTGAGCTGTCTGAAGTCTCTGCAGTTCTTTATTCATGGCTTGCAGTTTCTTTTCATATTCAGACCTAACTTTTTTTGCTTTTTCTTCTGAGTAAGATTCCACTGAGCCTAAATGACCAAACAATATTTGTATTTGTTTGTGTGAGACACAGATTTTTATTTCACAGATTTACAACTCATGACCTTAGACAAGAACTACCTCCTAAATACAAACCTCAGGAGGCCAGGATGCCTTTCAATCACTCTGCCTTTTAATATCTACTCTTATTTAACAATTATTGAAGTTTTTATCATTTTAATTTAAAAAAAGTTCCCAGCATAAATCAAGGCATTAAAACAATTAGCCACAACTTTGGGAAAAAAATTATTAAATAGCCTAGACAGGTACCAGCATGAAAAAACAAAATAAACAGTAATATTTAACATAATGGGACAAATTAACATTTAATGTGACTTTTAATATTATTTTTTTCTTGTAAAGGAAGACAGGATAAAAATCTATTTTGACAATTTAGTTTGAACTTTAATTTGAATTAAATATAATTCTTACCTAAGTTTTGAAGCACCTGGTCTCTTTCAAGCTGAGTGTCCCGAATTTTATGTTGCAGCATCATTAGCTTCTCTTCATACTGCTTTTTCAGCGTCTGTAGTCTTTTCTGGCTGTTTTCTAGTTCATCAATCAGCTTTTGCTTGATTGCAATTTCACAAGTAATGTTTGCTAAGTCTGCCTGATAATTGGCTATTATAAAAGAGGAAAATAAAAATTCTGGGATAGGCCATAATAAGAGCAGGAAAACCATCATCTGTATCCAAGTATTCACTTGGCAGCTGTAAGGAAAATATCCTGAATATACCAAAAATTAAAGAAGGGCAAAAAGATAGAGTGTTCACTTTGGTCAAGGACAAGAGATACCATTTGTAGCAAATAAGAATGGAAGTTACACAATGACTAAATCCAATAAGAGAAGAACATGAGCCTTGGAGGGCATATATAGGCCAGCAATTATAAAAGGTGCTTTCATCAAGGATGAAATGGAGAAGGTTAAGAGTTTTCTGCCATGTTTTAAACAAGTGCCCAAAATAAATTTTCGTCCTTGTACCAAAGGACAAGTACCTTTTTCATCTGACTCAGAATCTGATTCATCAGAGCTTTCACCCCCTTCAACGTCATCTTCTTCCTCCTCCTCTTCCTCTTCCTCATCTTCATGATCACTCACTTCTTGACTTTCTTCCTAAAATGTGATTGGTGTCCATTAATAGCACAATATTGGCAAGGCAAATTGATTACTTCATTAAGAGAGACTGTGTGACAGAATTAGAACAAAAATTTTTACATTTTGTGTGGAAACACAAAAGACCCCAAATAGCAAAAGCAATCTTGAGAAAGAAGAATGGAGCTGGAGAAAACAGGCTCCTGAACTTCAGACTACACTACAAAGCTACAGTCATCAAAATAGTATGGTACTGGCACAAAAACAAAAATATGGATCAGTGGAACAGGATAGAAAGTCCAGAAATAAACCCACGCACCGATGGCCACCTAATCTGTGACAAAGGAGGCAAGAATATATGATGGAGAAAAGACAATCTCTTCAATAAGTGGTGCTGGGAAAACTGGACAGCTACATGTAAAAGAATGAAATTAGAACACTCCCTAACACCATACACAAAAATAAACTCAAAATAGATTAAAGACCTAAATGTAAGGCCAGGTACTATAAAACTCTTAAGCAAAAATATAGGCAGAACACTCTTTGACATAAATCACAGCAAGTTTGCTTTTGATCTACCACCTAGGGTAATGAAAATAAAAACAAATATAAACAAACTTAAAAGCTTTTGCACGGCAAAGGAAACCATAAACAAAACAAAAAGATAACCCTCAGAATGGGAGAAAATATTTGCAAATGAAGCAACTGACAAGGATTAATCTCCAAAATATACGAACAGCTCATGCAGCTAAATATCAAAAATACAAACAATCCAATCAAAAAATGGGTGGAAGACCTAAATAGACATTTCACCAAAGAAGACATACAGATGGCAAACAAACACATGAAAAGATGCTCAACATCACTAATTATTAGAGAAAAGCAAGTCACCTCACACTGGTCAGAATGGCCATCATCAAAAAATCTACAAACAATAAATGCTGGAGAGGGTGTGGAGAAAAGGGAACCCTACTACACTGTTGGTGGGAATATAAATTGATACAGCCACTATGGAGAACAGTATGGAGGTTCCTTAAAAAACTAAAACTAAAGCTACCACATGACCCAGCAATCCCACTCCTAGGCATCTTTCCGTAGAAGACCATAATTTGAAAGGATGAATGCACCCCAATGTTCATTTCAGTGCTATTTACAATAGCCAGGACACGGAAACAACCATAGAGTGAAGTAAGTCAGAAAGAGAAAAACAAATATCGTATAATATCACTTATATGTGGAATCTAGAAAAATGGTGCAGATGAACTTATTTGCAAAGCAGAAATAGTCACAGATGTAGAGAACAAACTTATGGTTACCAAGGAGGAAAGGGGAGAGGTGGGACGAATTGGGAGATTGGGATTAACATATATACACTTATGTATAAAAGAGATAACTAATGAGAACCTATTGTATAGCACAGGGAACTCTACTCAATGATCTATGTTGACCTAAATGGAAAGGAAATCTAAAAAAGAGTGGATGTATATGTATACATATAACTGATTCATTTTGCTGTACAGCAGAAACTAACACAACATTGTAAAGCAACTATACTCATTTAAAAAATAAACAATAAAAAACAAACAAAAACACAGAATCAGAGTTAGAATTTTTCTTCCTCCCTCAATATTATGAAGTCTGCCTAGCCATATGACTTAATTTTGCCCCAGCTTCTATTATGTGCTTTATATTTAATATGCACAATATAGTCTCAATGAATAAATACAAAAAAAAGAAAGAGAGAGACTGTGAGTATAAAGTACAAGAGCACAAAAATTTCACTTTTCATAAGTTAAAAATATCAATCCACAATTTTAAGGTTATTTTACAATAATTCTGTCTTAAATCAAAGAGTACTTCATCTCTCTTAGTATTCTTTCACCCCATACACAATGCTTTCACAGTGCACAAGATTGTGAGTTGCTAATATTTAATAGCTCACATTTCTGAAGAAAAGAAGTCCTCAAGGACACAATTTAAAATGGATGTATGATAACCGATTCTCTTTTCTACATATAAGTTAGTACAGTTATCAGCAACCAAGAACAACCTAATCCAGGGACTCAAAATTACAAGTTTATTCTCTCATACTTACAACTTCTAATTCATTGCTTTCTCTTTCTGAAATACCCTTTTCTTCTTTCTTCTCTTGGTCAGTGTCTGTATTATCCTCTTTACCAGCCACACTAAAAAAAAAAAAAAGAAGCAAAAGTGTATGATGCTAAAGTAGAGAGGAAAACTGTTCACTTTTTTTCTCCTAGATTTTTAAAAACCATCAATTATTTTTGAAAACAAACTAGAATAGTTCATCATTTAACTCAGCAAAGTTATCATGTCTGATGCTTCAGAGGAAAATTGAAACTGACATTCAACTCATAGTACAGTGATTTATGTCAATGGAGAAAATCTTATTTTCTAGAAACACTGAGGAATAGATTATACCCTGGAGCATGACACCTGCTGAGACAGCTAAGAACTAGTCACCATAACATTCAATCAACTAGAATGTAGGCAAATTAAATTTAATGGAAATAAAAAATATTTTTGTTTTCTCATCTAAATGTATAAATTTTTCTCATCTTAATACAAAGATATAGAAACTGCATTTTTTATTAATGTCCTAATACATTTAAGAATAAATTTAAAGATCAGAATACATCTGCCCACAGTAAGTTTGTCTATACCGGCTGCATCCATCACAGTGTTCAGGTCTCCCCTGGTAATAGAATAGTACAGGTTCTTTTCTCCTAGGTCATACCTGTAGCACAGGGCTATTTCTCATAATGTTCTCACAGAAATGGGTCTCTGCACATCAGAACTGTCTGAAGTTCTGCCTGACCCCTGATTGAATAGGAAATTCCAGGATCTGCCACAAGATTCACCATACAAATAAAAGCTTCCTCTTCAGGTATCAGTACAGCAGCCCTAACTATTGATATATACTAATGTCACATAATGTTATAGCTAAACTAATTACTTCAGCCCTAGTGGCCATGAGAAAAAGAAGACTCTATAGTGAGCAAAGTTTTTACATAGTTAAATCACTCTGACCCTTCAGGGTTTAGCAACCACCATCAATTATGCACAGAAGTTACACTTCTGTTCATTAGACTCCTACATTTTATCCTAAATAATATTAAGAAAGTGAATTTTAAATGAATTTACATATGAAAATTTTCTTCTTGTGCTATAGTTAACTTTTTAAATCATTAAGAATACTTGAATAAAGCAATATTATCCAAATAAAATTCTTCTAGAAAGAGCTTAAAATTTTTATCAGAATAACTTTATAACAGCTATCATTTCTTTCAGATATTCTGCTACATTAAATAATTGCCCTAATACATGGACTTATTTTTAGCTTCTAGGCTAAAAAATTAATCTCATTTAGGTGCTGGTATTATTATTAAATGCTAATGTTTAACTGCAGGTCCCAATTCTCAAAGACATTTTTGAACTCAGAACAAGATGAACACAAATACTTTTCCTTTGTAAGCACTTTTCAGAGTTCTTAATTTATGTTTATTTAGGTAGTTATTTCTGTAATTTCTGTCTTCCCCACTAGACTGTAAGCCTCATAAGAGAAGGGATCATGTCTGTTTGGCTCAGCATTACATGCCTAGTACCCAAGGGATGTGCATAATAAATGTGCATGAAGTATTTGTTAAATATATTAATCTCTATGATTGTGCATGAGCACCTCTGTTTGGAACCTCTGCCTATGTGTCTCACACACTAATTATGTTGGAGTAGAATAGTACAAATTGAAAGATGCATAAAGATGCATGGAAAACAGCATATCTCTAGAGTGAGAAGAAACTACCAGTAGGAATACCAATAAAATCCTCTTAACTGGAGAGGAATCAAGTAAACTATAACAAGGTTCCATGAGTTTGTTAAATCACTTGCTAGAGAAAAATGTTGAATATACTGAATGCCTATCTTACATCACTTGTATTATAATAGGACTGTTCATTTTCCATCATCACACATTTCAAGATGAAAATCTAGAAAGAAACTCCCCCTTCATTCATCCAATCATCTGATTCAAAGGCCAGCACCATGTACTCAAGTAGTGCTATACTTGAGACAGGCCTAAGGCTTAAGACTAGGAAAGGAGCATGTTAGGAAAGATATCTCCCATCAGCATTTCTCATCCCCTCCCCTATGCAATCTCCCTTCCTCACCTGCAACTCTTGCAGCATACAATTTTTGTTACTGTCAGTTCCTTCATTACTTCAAGCTCCAACACAAATTCCCTTTTATTCAGGTTTATAGCCATACAACCACCTTGTTTCAAATACTTGACCTAACACACCCTTCTACACCCACCAAGTCACCAGAATCCAGCTTAACAAATGTTATTTTCACTTATATATGAAGTTAACTCATGTATTATAAGCTGTTTGTGCCAATTCTGATGCAGAAAAATCAGCAGTTGTTAACTTTATATTATTAATTTACCTTTATAAATCATGTAAGGCTTAAGCTTTTAAAGTACACAATTTGATATTTTATGATTATTGTACAGCAAACATTCAAGTTTTCTTCAATAAAGTGGGGAAATTTTATATCTAAAATAACTATCTAAGCAGCAATGAAAAATATGTAAGTTTGCACTTTACATAGAATCAGAATCTTGGAGCTGGAAGGAACACTAGTGATCAAGTAATTTAAACCCTTTGACATTTAACAAGCAATGTCAACATTTTTGCTGACAACCAAAAAAGAAACTGTGGCCTGGTGAAGCTTATCAACTCAAGGGGACTTAAAACCAGGTGTCATGACTCCAAAGCCAGTATTCTGGAATATTTCCTCAAAGTTCAGTTCACAGACAGAGAAGCATCAGCATCACCCAGGAGCTTGTCAGATATGTAGAATCTCAGGCTCCATGTCAGTCCTACTGAGTGAGAATCTTCATTTTATCAACACCCCAGGTTATCTATATGCACATTCATGTTTAAGAAGCCCTGTCCTAGTACACCAAACAATTCTGCTTTTGTTATCTATGAGGCGTCATATAAAAATTGGAGGCAAATGCTATTCATTAAGTATATTTAAAGGACTTAACTATTTTAAGGTGGGAAAATGTTTTCATTACACTAATTTAACTATGCATTTTATTTTGACCTTTCAAAAGAGAAAATTTTTCACATTTTAATGCTCTAATTTAATTCCAATGATAAACATAATGTCCTAAATATAAACTAATTAGGTGAGTCCTAAGATGACCTACAGATAGAATTATATTTTAATTATAGAATTATATTTTAATTTAACTATATAATTAAAATATAATCCTAGAATAAATTATAGAAACTTTAGAATACTATGTAATATGTAGGGTATAATTGTGGAATGTAAATTATTAAATAACTTAAAGAAAATATAATTTACGGTTTCAGCTATTTAAAGTAAGAGATTAGTTTAATTGTTGCACAGTAAAAGTTCTCAAGGCTTATTTTTTGTTTGTTTGTTTGTTTGTTTGTTTTTGCGGTAAGCGGGCCTCTCACTGTTGTGGCCTCTCCCATTGCAGAGCACAGGCTCCAGACGCGCAGGCCCAGCAGCCACGGCTCACGGGCCCTGCCGCTCCGGGGCACGTGGGATCCTCCCGGACCGGGGCACGAACACGTTCCCCTGCATCGGCAGGCGGACTCCCAACCACTGCGCCACCAGGGAAGCCCCAAGGCTTATTTTTAGTAAGAAATAAAATTATAAAGTGGTGCTTCTAAAATAGTTAATATTATTTTGAAACCAGTTTATTTTCTTAATCATTTTGATATTGTAATCATGAGACGTTTAGAAAAATCTATAAAGAAAAGTTCTAATAAGAAGTAAAATACTACTTGATACTTGGTTAAATAATCATAATATTGAATGAGTAAAATGCAAATTTTTATTATATTGGGAGTTCAGAAGCAGTGCTTCTAAATTTTGCTCAAATTTCAAATGGAAAAAAAAGAGAAGATCCTGGGGTTTTGTTGTTGTTGTTGTTTTTTGCGGTATGCGGGCCTCACTGCTGGGGCCTCCCCCGTTGCGGAGCATAGGCTCCGGACACGCAGGATCAGTGGCCATGGCTCACGGGCCCAGCCGCTCCGCGGCATGTGGGATCTTCCCGGACCGGGGCACGAACCCGTGTCCTCTGCATCGGCAGGCGGACTCTCAACCACTGCGCCACCAGGGAAGCCCAAGAAGATCCTGTTTTTGATGCTGACTTCAGGTACATTTTAAAAGCAAAACTTGCTTTTCTAATTCCACCTTAAATATGCCTTATAAATCTTATCTGTAGTAAGGCCACAGTTTCCTTTTACTTTGTTGCCATTTTAACGTTGTTTTCCTAACAAAGATTACACAAAATAAGGAAGAGATGAGAATGAACCCACCCATGACTTAGCATGTGCTGCAACAAAATGCGAATTCCCACCGAATTAATAATTCCCTCTGTTCACAAGTTTCCGAAAGGTATATTCTGAAAGTTAAAGGGTGGGGTTCTTGGGCCATTTTTAGCCATCAAAATTATGATAATCTATTCTAAATTCACATGAAATTCCTGAATTTTAATTCATATAACGACTGGCTTTTATTCTTAAAAAGTATTTTTTTATATTTTCAGTGTTTTTGTTAATTTTATAAAATCATCATTATTTTTAGGAGCACCAAGCTAATCTAGTCTGAAACAATCTATAATTCTACAGCATATATCCTTTTGAATGGCAACTAAGTATTTAAATGACATTTTAATAAAAAACCTGGGAAATATTCCAACCTTCTTTCTTCTCGATTGCTTTCCTCAAGTTTCTGTAGCCTTCAAAATCACGAGGCACAGTATTGGAAGGCCAAGCCAATGAAGGACAAACCAGACAGTAAAAAGCGAAAGTGATAAGAAGGTAAAAATGATACATGAGCTTGAAGACTTTAAAATAAATTTTAAAAGATATCATCAAAGGACAATACACAGTAAAAAGGCAATACATTTTATATGAATAAAAAGTAAGAAAAACAAGCAGCATTATATCTAAGAAGAGTATATATAGACTATCAGTTGAAATTATTCAGCAGTAAAATGTACAGTCTCAATTTATAAAGTTGATAAACAGTAAGAGTATTTGGATGCCATTGCTTTTTTTAACCTGAAATGGATCAATTTTCTCAGATTCCAAAAAAAAAGCATACTTCCAATGATATCCTCTCTTCCTTGTAAACCTTTACAAAATACCTTTTTATGGCATCATTAAAAGAACTTCAAAAAGTAATGCCTTTATACCATAATATGAAAATACTATTAATACTACATACTAGGATACTAATTTTTAAACTTGTTTTCTATTTCAATATACTACATGTGAACATCACTAAATCTAAAAAAAATTCTATTTCAAAATTATACATGAAATGGTATTATGGTCAAATGAATATGACTGTTATGATATCAGTGGAAAACTGTAATTTTATTAACTGAAAATTAATATCACTGTACTAATTACTAGACTACCAAAAGGATATATCTAAGGCAAAGGTAGCAATAAAATGGGAAATGTAGTACTTTCCATTAGTAAGATTATTTTTCAACCAGCAAAGTATGAGAAAAACTATAAATATGTATTTAAAAGCTTTGACATTTAAAGAATATTCAATACACAGAATTGGGAATCTTTACTCAGTGGAATGTACTGAATACCAGTATCTCTCATGTAGACAAAAAGATAGATGTGCTAGGCTCTGATTAAGCATATAGCAATCTTGATATAGTACACTTCTGCCTGGATTCCAAAAAAAATATTTTTTCAGAATCATCAGTATTTTAAAATGAAGAGATTGAGTCTTAGTTATGAATTATTTCATCGAGGCAATTCTCATTTTAATTTTATAACATGATTTTTATTTGCTGGCCTGTGACTGTTTTTCACAATCAACTAATATACTGCTATTGCAAGAAGAGACTAGCAATCTTTCTGAGAAAAAAATTCTGCAGAGTGATATTCACCAGAGATCAAAATGTCCAGTATAATGTCTAGAAAAGGGTAAGAAAAGCCATCGCCTAAGAAATCTCTGTGTTTCTAGAGTTTCAACCTGACACCACTAAATACAAATATAATGCAGTCTGATGAATGAATGAATTTTTTATAATGCAAGTCATTTAAAGCTAGATATTCAAAAATATGGGGATCAATGTATGAATGGTAAATTTTCTTTATCCATATACACCAAAAAAAGTAAAAAAAAAAAAAAAAGTCTAATCTAGGCTTATGCTGATGATAATGAGCTATAATGACTCAAAGGATATGGTTCCCTAGCAAAAATCCCAAATTTTCTATTTTCAGCATGAAATTTTGTTTACCTTACACTAGACAGCTATATTAAAACATATGGATAATGTGAGCTAATAAGTAGATAAACTTTAGATGCCTTCCCAATTGTCTCTTTAAAAAAACACTACAATCAATAGTTCCAAATGACAGTAGAGGGGCAGAGATATAAACTGATAATCTGATACTTCTCCATAATTTAAAGGAGTTCAGTCTTTATTTCATTTAGTTCCATTTATAATACCTCTTCCATAGTTAAATGGGGGGGGATGACAAATCTTGCTAACCATTCTAACATTTGTGTAACTAAAGAAAATAGTCAATGTAGTCTATACGATTATTCTTCCTTATTTTCTTACTACTTACACTTATGGATTATTTTACAGCTCAACAGAAAATAAGCACAGGAAGAAGAGCCAACCTTTAAACCACACATCTTAGCAATTGGTTGTAGTTTAGATAAAGACTTTGACAAGAGGGTGAAAATTTCATGTAAAACAGGACTTATGGAATCCTCCTTGAACACAAATGTAGCTTCTGACATAAAAATGATACAGTTGCCACTCCACCACTTAGTGTCAGAGGCCCTGTAGTCACTACAACCAAAGGCTAACAGCACAAAAACAAAGTAAATTAAAAGACATGGAGCTTCTAAAGAATTTGTGGATTCAGTGGGAGAAACAGAAGTAGCTATGAGAACTGGGACAGCTGAGCAAAGCTGAACCCAAAGGCCACCCCAAATAGAGGTTTTGGAAACTGTCAACCAAAAGGGGTAACAAAAATCTTCCCTACA